GCCTATTTAACTGATTGTGCGAAAATTGAACTACCAGTCCCTAATCACCTTAAACGAAATAGAGTGAATGGAGTTCTTACAAATAATATTTGGTCTGAATCACAATTTCTCATAACATTTTTAGTGCTCGATCCGTAGGATGTGCATCTTTTAGACGCAAATTTCTTTGTATTATGGGTTAATATTTGTTCTATTCGATTTCGTTTGATTGTTATTATTCGTATTATCATTGATTTCATAGCCCATACTTTAACCCTATAGTTATGATTGGAGAATGAGTTGAGGAAGAAACACACATTTTCGGCCTTTTTATAAGTCTCTCTTTCTAATTTATTCCTTTCTTTACCAACCAGAACATCCAAAAGGGTAGTTGTAACTTAGCCTCCCTGACTCCTGCAAATTCAGTAGCTCCTTATATTCTATTTATCAACTCAAGGAATGCCTACATACTTTATTCGATATGTTGCCAAGCAGCAGAGCAGTTATTTATATTTATAGTTAGTAGGTTTCGGGACCATCATGCGATAGGCTTGCATGGGATGACAAAAGACTAACAGTTGCATCCTCCCTAAATGCTACGAGAAGTAAAGGTCACTAAACCTTGTCTCTAAAATGTTGTTCTTATTCGGGCAGGACTGAAGTGTAGTTTTAACCTCGACTCATCGTCTCCTCAGCACCCCCAAGGGGACTCGAACCCACAGATAGTACACCGTCACGGGTGCCAGTGGGTCTCATTTCCAGGCAAAAATGGCGATATATCGAAAAATGTACGCCGAACTTCTCACAGATTCGGTTCCCTCCTGGTAGGCTGATGAGGCGATGAACGATGGGACGAGATCATATCATCAATCGAGTCCATCTGGGATGAGAATACCTTATCCTATTTATATTATTACGGAAAAAAAATCATTTTTTCTTTTTATCACTCTCATTTTAGTAACTTTATAGTGGCGCCAGAGGTCTCGACGACCCTAGCTTTCTTCAGTGTCCTTTGCCATAGTTGACTAGCCTGGATTTGACACCTTTCCAGGCATTTCATTGACTCTGTCAGTCTTGGCCCGGAGTGAGTTAAGCCCACAAAACGACTAACTTTTTGCTGATCAGTTGATAGAGTTACTTATCGCTTATCGTATTCTAGGCTCTGGATGGGTCGCATTTGTAGTTTTTTATCTGTTGAGGTTCATTGGTAAGTTTGTCAAAATTAACCGAAGATGTCCGAGACATTTCTGAGAATGTGCCAAGTCAACTATTCGACTCTAGAGAGTATCCTGTCTACTCGGGCAGAGGACACTGGACAAGATACATTCGTCGAGGTCGCCTTGACAACACGACAAAGAGTTCCAGGGCTCTTGCAGGCACACGAACAGGCCAAGCTAATCTGGACGAGTCGATTGTGTCCGGCCTTTGAGACGCACTCAACACTTTGGTGGTATTCAATCTAACCAGATTGTGCCAACAATTGCACACTGGAAAATGAGGACAATCATAGTTGCCATGGTGATTGGCTGTTTGCAAAGGGTCTGACTCTGCTTGCACTCCTGTGCCATGGCAACTGATATCAACAGGACACCAGTACATAATTGCGCCGATGCAAGTGAGCGACGAAGGCAGGGGAGTAGGGGTGGGAGCGAAGATGGGTGAGAAGCGAACCAGTTCAAGGTTGGAGCACTCGAGGTCCATTCTTTGTTGGCATCATGCCTCAACAGATATCTGAAATCATAATTT